TCAACAAACCCGAGATCTGTGGCACCCCTAGAAGAGGAGGGAAGGTTCAGGGCAGATAAGCTTTTTAACTAGGAAATATGCCTTACATCTGCAAAATTCTGATCATGGGAATTTTTGGTTAGAGACTTGAGCGTACAATGCATTACTGGAAGAAAATTCTAAGGAAATTATCTTTCATTACACATAAAAGGTTAGTAATGGATTACTAATAATTTCAGGGAATACTTTGGAAAAATATTTCGTAAATTGGAATCAAGAGATGAATTCCATTGGCATTATTAAGTAAACATGAATAAAGTGGGATAAAATATATTTAGATTATTTGCATTTTCCCTTTATAATTTTACTCATGAATTTTAGTAAGGTTAACAAGATAAAAACATCAGAATATCACTTTTCTCCCTCTCATGGTCACTACCACAACTCAGCAAGTTATGGAAATCTAATATTATTTTGATTAATGACCATAATAAATTCATTTAGTTTCCTTATCTTATTAGCAGCTGATATTAGCTGTCAATAAGATAAGGAACCTAAATGAATTTGTAATTTGTATTTTGTAAAACTTTTTAAGGTTCCTGATTGTTTAATTAGTTCAGCTTTGTATTTTCCACTTAAGTTATTTCTTGACTCCTTGTCTCAAGTCTCATGACCGTTGTTCATAATCCCATGGAAATTACTTTCCTTCATAGTGGAAATGACACTGAGAAGCGCTGGTGGGTGGTGGGTCCCTCAGCAAAGCTGGGCTCTGCCAGGACCCTAGCATCACGGGTGGCCTTCATGACAAACCAGGTGCCCCATCCCTCCAGCTCCCCGGGCCTCTCCACGCACTCTCTGTGGTCACTCACTAGAGTAAAGCAGGATCCCACAAGTTCAGCCTCCTCGGCACAGTGGCCCCTCCATATCTACTGCTGGGGACATCACCCTCCTGCCTCCCAAGACCAGAACCAGGCCAGGCCGACAGGAGGTTTCTAGGGTCAGGAAAATGACGTCTTAACTGCTTTCCAAGGACAAATCCGGGTCATCTCTGGCCCTAAGTTCATCAGTTACTTGTGGACATATTCCAAGTGACTGGTTCTAGCACACAGCTTCCCAGGACCCCGCCCCTGGAGGATGACGATGAACAAATGTGCAAGTACTGCGGATGGCAGTGGGCCAGGCGGGAGTGGACGAGGAAGAACAGACGGGGCTCTCCTGGGGAACAGGAGATCTTTGGGATGCGCTCTCAGGGAGAAGCCCAGTGAGAAGGGAAGGAGCGCTGTAGTCCTGCGGGGTGGGCTTTCCAGGCACAGGGAAATCAAGCAGGGTTTCTGGGAAGGAGCAGCATCCAGAGTGGTTCAGGGAAAACCCTGCATGGGTGGCAAGCCAGGGGGGAGGGTCCTGGTGAGAGTGAGGCCACAGAGCCCCAGGGCCACACCCTGCAGGACTCTGAGGCTCTGGGTGAGAGCCTGAGGCTGTTCTAACCAGGTGCCTGGCCCAGGAGGATCTTGAGGCAGGTGTGGCTTTCTCTGTAGGCATCCTGGGGGCTCTGTGAACAGCGAAGGAAGGGGCGGAGGGAAGGGTGCTGGGCTGAGATGAGCAGGGTGTTGAAGGGGCCCATGGGGTCTCCCACTCGTGTTCCCGACATTCCAATCTGTTTCCAGATGTGGGGGACCGAGCATTCCCTCAGTCTCCCCAGAGGACCGCGATGTGCTCCAGGCCTGCACCCGTGGAGCGCTGTTCTGGGGGATGGGGGCAGAGGGGAGTCAGTGCAGAGGGGGTCTGACAGTTCCCTGCCGAAGCCGGTGGTCATGGTCCCTCATGGTAGACGCAGCTGGATGGCTGAGGGGTTCGGGGTGATTTTGTCTTTTCTGCCCTGCACTGTATAATTCACACAGCAGAATGCGATCTCTCTTTTAATTCACGCTCTACGCCATTTTACCTACCGGGCCTAGTGTGAATCGGTTTCTCACTTGGGTCCTATTTGTGTGTGGTGGGGGAGGAAGGGCGGGGTTGAGGAGAGACTGCACACTTTGTTAGTGGAAGCTTCTCTTTTTTCTTCTCTTTCTCACTTTACATTTGTAACTCCATAAATTCTTCTCTGTCTGTGTGGGTGCCTAGGATATTGTGTGGGTGCTCAGCCCCTGGGGGGTAGGTGTGAGTCCAGACGCCTGTTTGCTGGTTCATCTGCTCCAGGTGTCTCGTGTTTCCAGACTAGTCAACAATCCAGAATTCAGCTCCTGTCTCCAAAGAAATAAAGGGGGGGGGGCATTTACACATTCGACAAGGTAATCACTAACACTGGACCAGTGAGGTGCTCCCTCTCACGGGAGGTGAGAGCGTTGTTAACCATATTGATTTTAAGCACATTATTCATGCTTAAAATCTGTGAGTCTCTGACTGTGGGTCAGAGCTGAGGCTGGTGTGAACCTGCAGAGGGAGGAATTTCTCAGGTCCACACTTGGAACCTGCAGTTCTTCTGTTCAGAAGGAACAGCGTTACAGAGGAACGGAAGGTCCTGAGGATTTTCCCAGGCAGGGAACGCCATCTGGGAGGCCACGTTGACACTGTTCAGTGTCTCAGGGTTCTGGCTGGAGAACAAGGCTTGGGTTGACCCTCGTGTGCTTCCAGTTGGCTAAATGGTTTCAGATCCACTGGGAAGGAAGAAAGGATGTGGGGCGTCTGTGGGAAGTCTGGGGTCAAGTTTCCCTGAGAACTTTGTGAGGTGTGTGACGTCTCTGTGTGAGGTCTCTGTTTCTGTGAGGCGTCTCTGTGCTGTGTCTGGGTGGTCTGTGTGAGGAGTCTGTAGGACGTCTCTGGTGATGTTTCTCTGAGGCCTGGGACTCTGTGTGAGGTCTGTGTGAGGTCTCTGTTTCTGAGAGGCGTCTCTGTGCTGTGTCTGTGATAAGTTCTCTGTGAGGAATCTGCAGGACATCTCTGTGGCCATGTCTCTCTGAGGCCCGGGACTCTGAGGGAGGTCTCTGTGAGGAATCTGCAGGACATCTCTGTGGCGATGTTTTCCCTAAGGCCCGGGACTCTGTGGGAGGTCTGTGTGAGGTCTGTGTTTCTGTGAGGTGTCTCTGTGCCGTGTCTGGATGCTCTCTGTGATAAGCTCTCTGTGAGGAGTCTGCAGGACATCTCTGTGGTGATGTCTCTCTGAGGCCCGGGACTCTGAGGGAGGTCTCTGTGAGAGACGGCTGCTTGGGGACCATGTGGCAGTGAAGGACGTGGCAGGTCTGTTAGTCTCCCCGGTGCAAGTCTCCGTCAGAGGTCTCTCTGGGAAGTCTGTGTCAGGTCCTGAGAGACACCTGTGAGACCCTGCTGCTGTGTCATTTCTGAGGGAGGTCCCTGTGTTTCTGTGGTGGTCTCTGGGGGACTGTGTGGGAGGGTCTCGCTTGTGTCTGACAGAGGATTCTGTCTGTGGAGTCTCCCGGTCATTACATGACTGTCCCTCATAGATGACAGAGCTGGCAGCTGTGGAGGGCACAGTGCCTTCTCCCTCATGCTCTGGCTGTCCATCAGTGTCGCTGTCTGTGGCATGAGCCCCCCGGGATCCCTGGGGTCCACGTCCAGCTCTGCTGCACTGAGAACCTGCTCTCTGGGCTCCGAGGGCGCCCAGCACAGCCCAATGCAAGGTTCCACCTCTGTTCCAGTCCCTCTGGTTTCTGGACGTTTTGTGGACGGTGGGCTCACCCCGTGGTCTGCTATGATCAGCAAAGGGACAGAAACTGGTGCAGGAGTGGCCTGTGGGACCTGTGCCCACACCAGGAGGGACTGTCTGACCCCATAGACTCAATGCTGCCAGGCGGGGCCACACTCATGTCATCTGCCTTGGTGGCACCTCTGCACAGGACTCTCCATCAGGGAACCAACAGGGCAGAGGGCCCTGGAGTGGTGCCAGGTGAGGGGCACATCCCCTTATGTCCCTTTTGTCCTTTTCCCTACACGCCAAGCCACGCTACTCTGCCTTCTTTCTGGCTCCATCCTTTCTGATGCGCCACGTCCCACTCTCTGCCCACGTGCCCCGCTGTAGACGGTTGGTTATTTATTTATTACTGGGGGTTGAACTCAGGGCCCTTATCACTGAGCCCCAGCCCCAGCCCTTTTTAAAATATTTATTTAGAGACAGGGTCTCTCTAAGGTGCTTAGGGCCTTGCTAAGTTTCTGAGGATGGCTGTGAGCCTCAGCTGGGGTTACAGGTGTGCACCACCTCGAGTCTGTAGATGGGTGCTGCAGGCGCGGTGCTTCCAGAGGGGGAGACGGTGGACCTTGGACAGGGATGATAGACCCACGTGGCTCCTAGCAGCCCACTTGCCGTCCCCACACCCACACACGAGGTGCTCCAAGTCCATCCTGCTCTTGAGTGTGAAGAAGGCAGGGGCAGAGCCGGTGACATGGCCACGTCTTAGGGACTGAAGTGAGAGGGGCTGTGGGTCCATTGTCTCCTTGCCCATCTCTGTCGGCAAAGCAGGGTCCCTAAGGCAGGGTCCTCGCTTCCCTCTGAAGAGATCCAGGCAGATCTATGATCTCAGGCCCTCAGGAGGCTGGTCCCAAGTTTGAGGCCAGTCTCAGCAGCTTAATGAGACCCTGCCTCAAAATACAAAAACTAACAGGGCTGGGGGTCTAGCTCAGTGGCAGACAGCCATGGGTTCAATCCCCAGGGTCCCCTCCCTGCCACACACACAGACACACACACCTGTGTGGGGTGTAGACTCCCCCACCTCTGAACTCAGGGCCAGCACACTGAGCCCCTCCCTAACTTTCCTGTGCCCATTTTGTAGTATGTGAAGCCACCTGTCCCCACAGGTGCCCAAAGTTCAAGGGAGGGGGAAAGAAGGGAGGGAAGTTGAGCCAGGTTTGGGGTGTGGTTTTTGTAGGGCTGCCTCATGCTGTCAAGTCTGCAGTTTTCTGTCGTTTGTCCATGTAATGAGCGAATGATGAACACAGATACAGTGAGGGGGTCTGGGTGGGGGTGGTCCTCAATGTCCCTTTCACCTCTCTGCCTTTCCCCTCCCTTCTAGAACCCACTGGGAGGAAGAACAGATGCCGGCTCCCTTCCCTGTGCCCCACCACAGCACAGAGAGAAGACAGGACCTAGAGGAGAAGAGCATGGATCAGGAAGCAGTGGACATCTCTGTGGGAAGAGCCCTAGCACACAGCAGACGCGGTCATGACAAATGCCTTTTCCTCCACGTGGAATGAACTGTTTCTTTGGGAAAAGATTTCCTAACAGCAAACAAGTGAGAGACATGATGTTATTCACAGACTACAGACTTCTCTGAGGACAGCGGTGCCCGTGACTGTGGACATGGCGGCCCAGGACACCTGCTGCCCTAGGCCTGTGCTGGCAGGGGCTGGTGAGTGGTGCAGACAGCTGGGCAGCAGGGCCTGGTTGCTCTCCTTGTCTCTGATTCATCTCTTCTTGGTCCGAAGGCTGTGGTCCTCAGGCCAGCTTGATGACCACAGGCCAAATTACACATCAGTCCTCTTTGCTCTGGGTGGATTGCCCTTATGGGAGTATCCATCAGCTAGGTTCTGGAGTTTTTCTTGTGCAAATTATCCTTTGAGGTAGAAAGTGCATGCTGAAGGCCCATTTTCTCCTCTAGGATCCATGCAACAATGGTTATGAGTATCTGGCATCAGCTGCCCCCTGTCTGTAAACTTTGTGCTTGTTGCTGACATCAGCACTGGGAAATGGCTGATGGGGTTTTTTTTTCACAAAATGTGCCTTCCCTTTACCTTCATTGGGGAGTATGGTCTTTAGACAGTTCCTTATCCTGTTCCTGAAGTGCATCACTGAAGGAGCCTGTCCTTTCTCTGGAGGGAGGCTCAGAGGACATGTCCCCACAGTGTCTCCTATTTCCTTGACCTGGGCAGGAGGCACACCCACCAGCATGGAAGGGCTTCCCTCCTGAACACCGTCCTTCCTGTGTTCCTGACCTGGGCCCACGCGGCCCTCTCTCTTGTCAGTGGGACCAACCATGTTCCTCTTGTCCTTCCATGGGTCCTGCAAGTTTGGGATCTTGGGCTCCTGCAGGTCCTGGCTGCTCCTTTTGCTGATTAGGAGAAGGCGTGTCCCCTGGGAAGCTGACACTGCTGCTGGATATGTTGAGGAAGGTGGACGGAGTTTCTGGGAAGCCAGACGTCAAGAGAACAGTCCCAAAGGAACACACGGTGGCACCGTCTTGAAGATCTGAGGCTGGTTCTCGCGCAGCCTCTGTTCCCAGGCAGGAGTCTTCTGGGTCCTGGGAAGTGGAACTTCAAGACGAGGAGGGGAGGTCCCAGAACTCCCCAGATTCCCATGAGCAGCTTGAGAGCTGGACATCTTGCTGGTTCCCATGGTGACTCCTCTTCAGAGGGCTCCTCCCGAGCCTTCTCTCTCTCCCCGATGTCTTGGGCCTTTGAAGTTGGGGACTCTCCACACCCCTCTCTCCAGTGGCTCCTGTCTGCCCTGTTCTGGGCTTGGACTTGGCTCCAGGCTGCCCCTCACAGACCCCAGGATGGTATTGCTCTGCCAAGTTGTGCCCACAAGAACCTAAGGGGGGCACTGAGAGGGCAGGTTGCCCCCATGTCCAGTTGGAGGACCTCTGAGGGCCCACAGTTGTCACCAGATGGAGTCCTGCTCAGACCCTCAAGTGAGGGGCCAGGGAGAGGGTTCTGCAGGGTGAGACCTTTCTGAGTGGGTTCTCCCAGGACCTTGGCACCGTGGACAGAGGAATCTGCCCTGGAACCACAGAAGGCTGGCGAGGGAGGGGCCAACAAAGGAAGGGCTGAGGCTGGAGACTTTCTCAACTTGGGGAGATTTCTGTGCTTGAGGACCTTGAAGGGCAGCCCCTGTGCCTCACACAGAGACTAATGTGTGCTGCCAGCACCTGAGGAGTGCGGCGTCCAGGAGGGAGGGCTCCGTGAGGTGTTCCTGCAGGTCTCCCCACCTGTCAAGGATGGTCCCTCCACGGGTTCCTTGTGAGTGTGTGGGTTTTCAGGCAGGAAGAGACATGATACATGGCAAGCCTGGAGTGACAACTGCCCACAGGGATCCTGCCCTCACCAATCTGCTCAATCTTCCTTCTTTTTGATACCTGCAAGGTGTCTATGTGCTTCTTGTCTGGGTCTTTTGGTGAATCATTTCCTGAGTCACTTCTTGAGGGTCTCATTAAGTCCCTTCCTGACTTTGTCTCAGAGATGACTTCTAGAACCTTTATTGGGAAGCTTTTTTAGGATGATGCTCAGACTATGTCCCAAATCATTGCCTGAGTACTTTCATACCTGGACTCTTTTTGGGTCTCCTGCCCTTCTGGCTGCTATCATCTGGACTGTGGAGCTCTAGAAAGATCCATAATTGTCCTTTGCCATATCTGCTTGGCAATTTCACTGTGGGTTCCATCTGGTCTGGAGATAGCTGGATCTTGTGGAACACTCCACACCAGGGCTGGGTGAACCTCTTCTCAAAGGTGTTACTCCAGTTTCTTCTGGTGCTTATGGCTGGTAAAACAGCTCGGGAGTCTGACAGTGGACTTGGTTTCAGGGAGGCCATGTGCTGGATGTCGGTTAGCTAAGGATTTTCTGCCAGGTGCAGTGGCACACACCTATAATCCCAGAATCTCAAGAGGCGGAGACAGGAGAATTGAAAGCTGAAAGCCAGCCTCAGCAATGGCAAGGTGCTAAGCAACTCAGTGAGACCCTATCTCTAAATAAAATGCAAAATAGGGCTGGGGATGTGGCGTGGGTGTCAAGTGCCCGGGTTCAAGCCCTGGTTACTCCCCCACTCCCAAGGGGAAAAAAAAAGATTTCCTGAGATGTTTTGCTCACATAGGGTAAAGCCCTCGGCCTTTTTAGTTGCTTCTTCAAAAGGTGATGTTCTAGAACAGGACATTGTATTCCTTCTTGGGTTGTAGGGTTATAGGGCCCGAAATGCAACAGGAACTATTTTGAGGTGAATGGCTGATGGGATTTGGAGAGACAATGTGAGATGGCCCTTGTTCTGAATCTGAGCCAGTGGTGGGGCCCGAGGCCAGGATAAGGTTGGAGTCAAATGTTTGAGGTTTGACAACATGATAGAGCAAGGGCTGGGGGAAAGTGTCAAGTAGGTACCTAAGAGTGAACTTGTACTGGGATGCAATTAGAGAGTCTATTGAATAAGATGGAGGAATGCCTAGTGGGGTCCCTATAGTAGGCACCAGAGCATTGCTGTTTATAAGGCCCTCAAAAAAGCTGACAGCATTTCTGCTGTAAGTGGTTTTCAAAGACCTTGGGGTAAAAAGCTGCTGAGGAACGGAAAGCTACTGTGGCTTCTCTTTTGTGTTCCAGAATGCCTGTGGGTGGTAGTGTCCCGCTCATTGCCCATTGACTTTACAGTGCTCCCCAGAGAATGAAGGGGGTCATCTGATTCCTCTTTTGATCTCAAGTTACAAATTTTCAGTTCTGCTCGCTTGCTGACTAGTATCCCCTGCAGCTTCTGAACATCAGAGTTGATGAAAGAGGTCCCTTCAGCCTCTACTGCAAGAGTAGGTGATTTGCACAGAATGAGTCCTGGTGGGTGGGAAGCATGATCTCTCTTGGATTCACTGTGGGAGGAGTTAGAAAGGCCCAGACTCTGGCAGCCATCTAACACCAGGTGAGGGATGAGCTTGGATAGGTGGAGAAAATATAGCCTAAGAAGAAGGCAATGGGACCAAAGATGGCAGTGGGACAGGAGATGACAGTGGAAGAATAGATGGCGGTGGAACAGGAGAAGGCAACCAATAGTTGTTGGGTGGAGAGGAGCTCTATGGATTGGTTCCCAGTGAGTGTCATGAGTCACACTGAGGAGGAGTCAGGCTGGGGCCTGGCAGAGATGGAGGGTGGGCCATGGGATCAGGAGGATGAGATGGGGGAGAGGAAAGTCCACGTGGCTGAGGTGAACGTCGTTCTAGAGGAGTCACAGACTCTGGAGACTGAGAGGCACTCACGGATGAGTGAGACTCAACAGTATCTGAGGAAGTCATTAGGTCCGGTGAGGGAGTAGAGGCCAGGAGCAGAGGACGCTTGCTCAAAGGAGTCAGGGAGGCCAAAGGGAGGAAGGCAGTGGCCAAAGCATCCTCCCCAGGCAGTGTACGTGACTGGTGGACTCCAGCTGACTCTGTTTGCACATCTCATCTGGGTCGTCTCCTTTTAAGAGCTGGTGAAAGCTGCTGTCAACATGGAGCTTCCCTAAGTAGGTGGAAGAGATAGAGGCTCAGGCTGTAGCCAGGAGCAGATGAGGCCAGGAGGTATAGGAGCTGGGGCAGGGGCGGGCACCTGTGGTCGTGGCCCCTCGCTACCCCACACCCTGAGTTTCCAAAGCCTTGCTCTCCCATACCCCAGAGCTTTAGTCAGATCCTGCCCCATGAGAGCTTTGTGCTGTTGGATCTTATCACAGGCAGCAGGAGGAAGGGCACAGGGACTAGGGGAAGGACTCACCTTTGTAGAAGTGAGAGCAGGTCTTCAGTCTCCTCCACTTTCCAGCAATCACTATCACCTGGAAATGGAGGGTGCATTATTGTGGAGAAGGGAGGTGAGTGGAGTGTCCTTGTGGGGCAGACTGGGAGAGTAGACTCTGGAGGGCCAGCCAGTGTTCAAGGCCACAGGACAGGTGACAGGGATAGCAAGGCACATGCAGGGGCAGCACTTTGTCATTTACTTCCACCATCTCTAGACTCCATTGTTCTCATAACCACCCTGTGGGGAGAAAGAGTGGACCATTTCACAAAGGAATGGGTCTTAGGGAAGTGAGAGCTTGTCCACACTTGGACCAGGAAGTCCCACCTCCATATCCAGACAGCATGGCTCCAGTACTGCCCAAACTGCCCTGCTGTGCTTCACCCACCCCCGGCCCACCACAGCTTCATTCTCAACACAGAAGCTGAGAAGGGTCTCGGGTATGATATCCTTCCCTGGATCCTCCCTCTCTGGTCTCTGCAACTGACATCCTTTAGGACATAGCGCTAGTGTCTTAGAGACCCAAGACAGGGGACAGCAAGTCACCTCTGGGGTGGAAGGGCAGGGCCTTACCTTTCAGAATGCCACTCTTCTTCCTGTTCTTGGTCTGTTCCTTCTTCACCTCCAGGTGCTGGCAACCAAAAAAGAAAGAGTCTGGGGACCAGTTGTCCCTCTGTCCTCCTAGAACAGCTGCAGACACTCCGGGTTTCTGAGCAGCATCACCCTCCACAGTTAGCTAGTGGGGACCCTTTTATTCAAAGAACACTTTTAAAGAGGCAGGATACTTCATGTTTCTCCTTTGGAAAACACAAAAGGGGTTTTCTCTATAAACTACCCCATGCATGTCCTCAGTCACTGATCCCTGGCTCAGGAACAGACTCCTTTCCACAGGCTCTTCTCAGCTGCCAGGCAGGGTTGTGCTCCCTGAGGCCAGAGGGGACGCCAGCCTGTGACGGAGGCCTTAAGAGCTCAGCACAGCCCTCAACCTCAGCCCAGCACAAAGGAAAGGCCTGCTCCAGAGACACCCTCCAGGAGGTGACGGATGCAGCAGTGCTCCAGGCCTGTTCTCCTCCAGAGGCTCCCAGCTCCCTCAGGATCCAGACCTCGCCACTGAGTCCCAGTGTGTGTTTCTCTCTGGGACCTGCAGCTCCCCACGTGGAGAGCTTCAGATTGGAGCAGCCCTAGTGCACCCTCTCCCTGCCCTGCCCTTCCTGTCTCAGAGTGATGTTCTGTTCTGTCCTGAAGTTTCTCTGTTTTGAACAGTCTCCACCGATTTTGGAAAAGTGGAAAGAAGAGACAAAAGAGAGAATTTTTGTGTGTGTTTTTTTTTTTTTGGTTGGGTATGGCCTGCAGGTTTCTTACCTTCCTGAGTTTTCCCTTTCTCCTTGGTGGTGGGAAGGATGGATTACCCTGGAGGCAGGGCAGTAAGAGGAGAAAGAGCCCCAGTCCACACACAAAGGCCAGGATCATATCCATTGTCCAGGTGGTGAAGCTGGGGTTCAGCCATATGTCAGAGGAAAGAGGCTTCTCCATCCTCTAAATCACACTGTTCTGTTTGGACAAATGAGTCCTGACAGTTTGCTTCAGCAGTCAGAGAGGGCCCTGGCCTGTGTCACACAGGGCTGTGCCCTCTCATCACAAAGGGATCCTGACAATAGGGGAGGGACAGGAAGAAGAGGCAGCACCACACCCCTGCCCACCCTCCAGCCCAGCATGTTCCCTACTGTTCTGGGCCTTCTAGATCCTTCCTTCTAGATCCACCTGTTTGCCATGCCAAAGGAGAACTTAGTCCATTTTCTGTTGTTCCTGCCTATTACCCAGACACGACCTGCTTCCTTGTAGATCTCTGCTTAGCTCCCATCAATATCCTGCTTTTTGGAAACTGGAGTTGTTTGTATAATTGTTATTTCACAGAAGTTCTTACTTTCCCGTTCTCCTCTCGCTGCAGTTCCAGCTTCCCTGCATAGTAGATTGGAGTCACTGTGTTTCTCTCTGCTATCTCTGGGTGGTCTCTGAGATAAGTTCTCTTTGAGGAAATATGTAAAACTCTGTGGTGATGTTTCCCCAAGGTCTGGAACTCTGAGGGAGGTCTCAGATCACTGCATGGGGACCATGTGGCAGAGAAAGGTTATTGTGGGGGAGTGTGCTAGGTCTCTGAGGGCTCTCTGGGTACAGGTCTGTCAGAGGTAGGTGCCTCTGGGAAGTGTGTCCTGGGCTCTGTGAGATCTCTCTGTGAGGACCCTGAAGTCAGTGTGCTATCTGTGGGAGGTCTTGGTGTTCTGGGACAGATGTGTTGTAGGTTCTGTGGTGGTCTCTGTGACAGTCTTTTAGTTGGGTCTCTGAAGGGTTCTGTGGGGGTCTCTTACTTGTGTCTGACAGAGGATTCTGTGAGGTGTCTCTGTGGGGGTCTCATTGTGGGTCTCAATAGGGTCTCCTAGTTATTGGCATTACTGTCCCTCACAGATAACAAACCTGGAAACAGCAGAGGGCACAGTGACTTTCATCTCTTGCCTCTGGCTGTCCATCAGTGTCGCTGTCTGTGGCATTATCCCCTTAGGATCCCTGGGGTCCATGTCCACTCCTCTGCACTGAGAACCTGCCTCTCTGGGCTCTGAGAGGGCCCAGCAGGGCCGATTCAAGGACCCGACTCTATTCTAGCCCATTCTGTCCCTGGGTCTGTTCTTGATGCTAGGCCCACTCTGGGGTCTGCTATGATCACGGCACAGGACCTGGTTCAGGGGTGGCCTGTGGGGCCTGTGCTCACACTGAGAGGGACTGCCTGGCTTGACATGTGGAGGACTTCAGGCCTTAGGGCAGGACCAGGCCTGTGTCCCTGCCTTGGTGTCACTTCCTGGTATAGGACTCTGCATCAGGGAGCAAAAATGTCAGGGTACCTGGAGTGGTGCCTTCCCCAGGTGGCCACAGCATCCCACACTCTGCAGGCACGGCTTCTCCTCTTCCTCCTGTGGATCCTGCCTGCTTTCCCATGTGGACAGATCCTGGGAAGAAGCAGCCTGTGCTGGAAGCACAGTGGGGGCAGGGAAGACTCCTGCTTGCCCCCTTGCCCAGCTTGCTCCCACATTTTGGACAAGTCACTGCCCTGATATGACAAGTTCTGACTGAACCACCTCTAGTCTGTGGACAACAAGTTCTGGGGCCTAGAGAACCTTGTTTTGTGACCCCAGGCCCCCTTTGGCCTTTTAGGTCCCCACCTTTCCACTGCAGAAGAAGTTCAAGGGCCATGAGTCCATATGTGTGTCTAAAGGCCGTCAGCCAGTCCTGTGTTCCTGGTGACTCCAGTTGTCAACTCATCCCTTCTGTAGTCAAGACATGAGGACTATTCAGTATAACGTCAGGAAATGAATCTTCTCTACCAAGGGGTTTGCTTCCTCTCTAGCCTATGTCATTGCTAAAGAGGCTTCTCCAGGCCTGTGTTTGGGAGCCAGAGCAGAGTCCACAGGGGTGGGGCCAGGGTGAGTCCTTGATGTTTCTACCCCCCTAGATTGGTGGCTGATACTGGAAGGGCAGGGTCTTCCCATCCCCAACACCATCTGTGACATCCCCATGTTACTCTGCCCCTTTCTTTGCCTCCATTATAATCCATTCCACATCCCACTCTGCCCACTGTGCCCCACTGTCACATGGTTAGTGCATACCCATTTGTGCCAGCTGGGGGTTGGAGAGCTGAGAGGTGGTGAGCTGCATGTGACACAGCCCTCAGCAGCCAACTTGCTGTTCCAACAAGACACTCACACACAGATCTGCAGTTTGTTTTTCTGGTCACTACCCTAGAGAGTAGGAAGGCAGGAGCAGAAGCACGTGACATGGCCATGGCAGGCAGCCTGAGCTAGAAGGAGCTGTCAAGGCCCATCTCCATGTTAGCTTCCATAAGGGAGGGGTTGCAAGGGCAGGTGTCTTCTGTTCCCCACCAAGACATCCAACAGCTAGGACTCTCTGACCATCTCTGAACTCAGGCCAGGAAACTTATACCTTTCCCCAATTTCCTGGGCCCATTTGTGGCATGGGAGGCTATGAAGTCCCATGGTAACCCTGCACCCCAATCCCTGCGGCCTCACAAAGTTCAGAATGAAGGGAAAGGCTGATTCAGACATGAGGGTGGGGTTCCAAAGGTGTTCTGTTATTTCTGTAATGATCAAGTCATGAATTCTTAAGGTATAACAAAGGGATCTGACATAACGGTGGGTACTCAATGCCACTGTCACCTCCCTGCAAGTCCAGTCTCTTTTAGAATCCATTCTAATGAAGAACAGAAATGACCTTCTTCCTTATGACTCAGCTAAAGACAGAAGCCTCTCTGATAAAAAACAAAAAACAAAAAAAACATTATTTTTAAGCAATTGTCACCTTATTAGGAAGAGGCCATTATCAAACAAAGGGCTCACAGGGGGACAGTTTTTCTGAGTATGGTTTTTATTATGGGAAAAACTTCTTGCCAGCAGGACGGGAGTGGGAAGCATGTTGATGTTGATGAGACAATAAATGTCTCTGAAGAGCACAGTGCCTTGGACAGTGGACACTGTGGCTCGAGATACCTGCCAAACTGGACCTCTGCTGGCAGGGGCTGGGCAGAGGTGCAGAATCCTTGAGCAGCAAGGCCAGATTGTTGTCCAGGTTTCTGACCCACCTGTTTAGAGGATGGCTGAGGACACTGAGGCTGGCCTGGTGATGAGGAGTTATAGTTCTGACCCCTCTCCTTTGTTCCAGAGAGAAGGAACCCCTAGCATAATGAGATTGTCTACCCATAGGGGCCTGGCGTTTCTCTTTAACTATGTTTTCCTTTGAAGCAGAACATTCATGTTGAAACCTCATTTTCTGCTCTATGATCCATCCAAAAGTAGACAAGAGTGCCTGGGCTTCTGACACCCTGACATTGTCTATTAGCAGTTGGCTTGTGACTGACCCTTGGCTTTGGGTAGTAGATGATGGGGTCATGATTTTGGGTGAGGAGTTTGCCTGCTCTTTGGCTTTACTGGGGAAAATATTCTGCAGAAAGTTCTTTATTCTGTCTCCAAAGTTTCTCTTTGAAGGAGCCTGGGAGGACTTGTCCCCCACAGTGTCCCCTACATCCATAACTGGGACAGAGGGGCCCATTTCCACAGCACAGGAGCGCCTCCTTCCTGAAAGCCTTTCTCCCTGTGCTTCTGACCTAGGCCTTACTCTGTCCTCCCTCTTGGCAGTTGGCCTAAACTTATTTCTCCTGCTCTTCCCTGGATCCTGGAGCTCAGGGGTCTTGGGTTCCTGCAGGTCCTCGCTGCTGTCTTCACTGGTCAAGAGTCCATATAGCCCCTGAGAAGTTGATGAACTCCTACTGGACATGCTTAGGGAGCTGGACCCTCTCTCCTGGGAAGCTAGGATGTCTGCAGCCAGGAGCACCTCAGGGGCACAGTCCTGATGAAACATGTCAGTAGCACAGTCTTGCAGGATGACACCTGTAGCCAGATCTTGAGGCTGGTTCTTTGGCTCAGTCTGTGCTTTCAGGCATGAGTAGTATTCTTGGCCCTGGGAAATAGGACTTATAGAAGAGGAGGGTCCTTCTCTGGTCCCCTGAGATTCTAAACTCCCTAGGGAATTAATATGAACATTTGGGAAGTTTGATATCTTCCTGGTTTCCTTGGTGATTCCCCAGTCAGAAGACTCCTCATCATCATCCTCCAGCTCTCTGACTTCTTCAGTCTTTATAACTTCAGACCCTACCTGGGGTGATGGCAGGCTATGGCATGAGACTTGTGAGCTCATACTTCCACTCCCCGGGGATTCCTGTCTGCCCATTTCCAGGCTTGGACTTGGTTCCAGACTGTCTCTTGCAGATCCCAGGACAGTATCACTGTGCCAGGTTCTGCCCACGAGAATGTAAGTGTGGGGCCGAGAGGGCAGGCTGCCCTCATGTGCCGTTGAAGGAGCATCTGGTAGCCCACAGTTGTCACCAGATGGAATTCTGCTCAGGGACTCAAAAGAGGGGCCAGAGAGAGGACTCCTCTGGGTGGGAACTGGAGTTTGTGCTACCTCCTTCAGTCCTGGACCTTTCGGAGTGGGTTTTCCCAGGACCTTGGCATCATGGGCAATGGGGTTAGCCCTGGAGTCATAGGAGGCTGAAGAGGGAAGGGCAGGCTGTGGAGGTGGTGAAGCCTCCGAGTTCCTCATCGCCAAGATGTTAATATGCTTGAGGACCCTGAGGGCTAGGCCCCACCTGTGCCTCACTCTTAGACTTGTAACATGCGCCTCCAGTTCCTGCCGAATGCCAGCATCAAGGAGGGAGGGCTCCTGGGAGGTGCTCCTGAAGGCTTCCCCACCTTTTAAGGTTGGTCCACCCCAAGTTTCCTTCTGGGTATTTGAACTTCCAGGCCGGACAGAGACATGGTATGTGCCAAGCCTGGAATTACAAACACCCACAGGAATCGTGCCCTCCTGTATTATCTCTGGCCTCTCAGAACTAGTCCTCTGTACAGCAGGGCTCCTGTTGTCTGGAATCACTGAGTTCCAGGAAGACCCACAACTGTCCTTTGCCTGATCTGTTTTTGGGATGTTATCCCAGGACTCCTTCTGATTCAGAAATGGGTCCATATTGGGTGGTAGTCCACACTGATGTAGCATGAACCTCTTCTGAAGGTGTTGATCCAGTTTCTCCTGAAGCTTAAAGCTGAGGAAGTCCCCTGAGGGCTTGTTGTGGTCACAGGAGGCCCTGTTCTCAGAAGTGAGATGGCTAAAGAGCTTCT